AGAGGGAAATAAACAGCTGGCTGTGCATGACAGGAAGTTGTTCTCTGTTAGTGTGAGAACTGGAGGTTCCCAGGTGAGCTGAGCAGAACCTGCTGACAAGACACTGGCAAATGACTACAACACCAGCTGGAAGGGCAAGGGTTAGCAAAGCACACAGACAAGTCTGTCTCCCTATCACTCAGATGAAAAGGTTCTTTTAATCCTGTTCTTACTGGTATGTTTTCTTGAAAACCGAATATGGAAATCTTTAACAAGCAAGAAAGTATTGTGGCTTATGTAAATACTGAAAATAGGGCAATTTAACCATTTTCTAAGATGCCTTACAGAGGAAATAAAAAGGAACTACAGCTCCCATATGCTCTGAACTCATACTCTTTCATCATCTTTCCAGGTGTGAGAAAGGACCCCCCTCCCCCAGGGTCACTTGGCAAACCTACAGAATCACACATCTTTCTGCTCTCAGCATAGAAGTGCAACACTAAGCATGTACTAGAAACTCAATAAAGACCTGAAATGAATAACTGTCTTGAGCTGACTCCCCCCACCTCATATGCCCCTCCCTTAGCTTTAAAGCAGCTAACAAAACCAAATACAGGCAAAGCCCCACCACAGCGTGCTCAGAAAGCAGGAATTATCTGTAACAAGTATACACTAAATTGACTCTTTTTTAAAAAAAGTATTTTATTTATTGTTTTTATTTTATGTGTATGAGTGTACTGCCTGCATGTATATGAGTGCTCCCGTGTTGTGCAATGCTGAGGAGATCAGAAGAGGGCTTCCGATTCCCATGGAACTGGAGTTAAGAACGGTTTGTACCTGCCATGTGGGTGCTGGGAATTGAACCCAGGTCCTCTACAAGAGCAGTCAGTGCTCTTAACCACTGGGCCATTTCTCCAGCCCTTCTAAATTGCCTCTTACATACTAAGGAAGAGTTAGGGGGCCATTCTAAATGTGTTCTTTATATCTGGCGCACTGAAGCCATTGTCATCTTGGAAGTACAGCCACAGTCTGTGTTCTGTGTCTCTTAAAGACAACATACACACAAGTGTGAGTCCCTGTCCTCCCTTTACCAAGGATGGGTCTGAGTTAATGCACACATCACACTTGATTGATGCGCTACAGCATTAGGGCTGGACACAAAGCATTCACCAGGAATAGGAGTCACTCAAGATCCTTAAAAGGTTCTAGGTACTAGACATTTTTATTTTTAGCACTTCATTTTGCATATTTAAATTTTCTATAACTATGGTACACTGTCAAATGAAATCAAGTGAAAGAGTCTACTGAGTATTTTTCAGCTAAATACAGTGGTGTTCTGGTGTTTAGATGGCATGCTAGCCCAAACCATGTAACTTAACAGGAATAAACAGAAATACATTGGTACAAGCAAAACTAGGAACTAAACAAGGTGTCACTTAGTTGTTCACTTAAGAAATATTCAAGCATACTGTGGTTAAACAGCAAATCCATGGATTATGACTTCAAGGTGGACACCACTGAAGGAATGTAAATTGGGACAACCACTTTGGACAAAGAACACAACCGAGTAAGTCAGAAGATATGCACGGCTCACCCAGGACTGGTCATAATTGCCCCAGGCCACAAACAACCCAGATGCCCATCAACATCTGACAGAGAATTTGTGGCATGTTCACCCCAAAATGAACTCGCCACAATCTCAGTCAACAATATAGATGAAACTTAAAAAACAATATAATATTGCCGGGCGTGGTAGCGCACACCTTTAATCCCAGCACTTGGGAGGCAGAGGCAGGCGGATCTCCGTGAGTTCAAGGCCAGCCTGGTCTACATAGTGAGTTCCAGGACAGTTGGGGCTACAAGGAAACCCTGTCTCAAAAAGACCTAAAAAAAAAAAACAAAAACAAAAAACCAGTATAGTTCAGGAATTTAAGCAGTTATATATGTGTGTGCATGTGTACACAGTGTGACAGATAGAGACAGAGAGAGAGAGAGATAAGATATAGTGGTATGGAGGCACATGCCTGTAATCCCAGCATTTGAGAGGCAGAGGCAGGAGGATCACCACAAGGCTGAGGCCACCCTGGGCTGCATAGTGAGAACCTGTTGCAAAAACCAAATCAGGGCTGGAGAGATGGCTCAGCAGTTAAAAGCACTTGCTCTTGCAGAGGACCTGGATTTGGTTCTGAGCACTCACATCAGGCATTTTGTAACCATCTGTATCTCCAGCTCCAGGGTATCTGAAGCACTCTTCTGGCCTCCATAGGCACCCATACACATGTGGCATATGCACACACAGACACAGACACTGACACACACAAATAAATAAAAATATTGGCAAAAAACCCCCACCAAACCAACCAACCAAACAAACAAAAGAGAAGATCTAAAAGAATGTTGTATGAAAGTGAAAAAGGAGTAAGCCTGGGTTGTGTGTGGTGGCACACACCACCCCCCTTTAATCCCAGCACTCAGGAGGCAGAGGCAAGTAGAGCTCTGTGAGATTGAAGCTAGCCTGGTCTACATAAGCAAGTTCCAGGCCAGCTGGGGCCACAGGGAGACCCTGTCTCAAAACAACAACATAATAACAACAAAAGTGAGAAAGGTGTGAAAACAACTATGCTGTTTAGAGTTTGTATTTAGGAGGTAAAAGCTATAGGGAAAAATTAATCCTGTTTAATTCAGGTTAGGTATCTGTCGTCCTTAGAAAAAAGTGGAGGTTGGGAGAAGAAAAATAAAAGAGGGGGTTATGCTTCTGGGCCTACAAAATTAGTTACACTAAAATAGCTCATCAACTTATCTTTTCACTTTGTTCCTTTATCTTCATGTTATTAAGTCACAATATGCAGAATATTCAGCACTCTGCCTAACCCCGGGAGGATGTCACTTTTAGTGTGTCAGCTTGGGATTTCATTTCCCTTCTATCTCAGCACTCAAGGTAGTGCCTTTAGCATAGCAAAAGCCTTAATAAATGCTTGTTATCAAAACCCATAAACTGCTGACATGATTGTTGTAAGTCACCCCTTTCCTAACACTGCTGTTTTGAGCTGTGCCCCCATTAACGCATTCCTTTCCTTTGTCTTCATCCCAGATTTCATAAATAATGAAGCTGCCACCTTAAATGTTAGCTCTGTAAGTTTATACCCAGGCTGTCCGTTGCTTTAGCAACTCTCCCTGCCTTCCTCTCCCTCCTGTGCCCTCCTAAGAGCAAAGACAATAGGTTGATCCTTCGTTTGCTTTTTAATGGAAAAGTTTTCATTTTGCACCTGACAGTAAACACTAGCATCATAATGATTCAATTACTTTCAAGTTGTTTGTGAAGGAGTCACTTGCCTGTTGCTCTGAGAAATATTAACATGTCTTGGAGTTAATTTTATGATCAGTTGTATTTTTAAAGAATGTTACTTGTTCTAGAAAAAAAATTTCTATAAACAGCACTAGTCAACTTTAAAATAACTGTTAACACATCACTTATGCAAATCGGCATGACAAACTAAAAGAAAGGCACATAGCAGTTACTTTTGAGGAAGATACTCAAAAGGCTAGAACCTCATTTGCAAAGTTTTAATTTTTTATAGAGATGATTAAAGCTTTTCTTTGTTGGAAAAACATGTTTTTGATCCATTTGTCTTGAAACAAAATCCCACTCTCAAAGGAATCCACCTAACTGCTCCCACCTTAAAAGCCCATCTTTTTTTTTGGGGGGGGGCTTTTTGAGACAGAGTCTCCCTGTAGCCCCAAGCTGTCCTGGAACTCACTATGTAGACCAGGCTGGCCTTGAACTCACAGAGATCCGCCTGCCTCTGCCTCCCGAGTGCTGGAATCAAAGGCATGCGCCACCACGCCCGGCCCTAAAATACTAATTTTAATGCTAAAGTCTTGAACGATTTCCTGGGTTACTTACAATCCGGGTTATTTCTGATATGAATAAATATTTATGCTACTCTAGTAAGGAATCTTTCAGAATGCATACCTGCAGTCAGCCAATATGAAGAATTTCAGAGAACTCTGCACAGCCACGCTCCACACTGATGCTAAGACGAACTGGAATGAAGCAAACTGTCTCCCATTTTATGGGGGAAAGCCAAAAATACCAACCAGCGATTCTCCTCCTCCAAGCGTCAGAAGGTGAGTCAGAGCTGGAGGCAGAAGTGGGGCCCATGTGTCAAGCCCTGTGCAAGGCTCTTTCCTCCCTCCTCCTGGGAATGCTTGGCCCTCACCTGACCTGATGTGAATTCTTAAGGTGTCTCCCGCAAAGAGGCGGGTACTCACTCTGGGGGTGCCTCATTCCCTGTTTCTCAAGGGAACAGAGACTGAGAGCCTTTTATGAGTCCACAAAAGACAATAACAAAATTGCAGCTCCAGGGAACGGAGCTTCCAGACACAACTTTGCAAAGAATATAGACACTTTTGTTCCCTCGTTTTAAAGAGCAAGCAATTAGAAGTCGCGCCTTGTCCAGAAACACTTAGCTTTGTAGAGGCGACCTGCCGCTGCAGACCCCAAGCCCAGGCCCCTCTGACCTGCACAACCTAGGGAAGACGTTCCGACTTCCCTTAAACTTGGAACAAGAATTTCAGGAAACTGGGTTAAACCTCTAGGTCCATATTTCATTAAGGCCAGTTAAGAATCCGGAATTATTGCCTCCGTTTTTACTTCTGCAACGGGAAAGCAAAGCCCTCTCTCTCCACCTCTTATAAATTCTAATGAACAGCTAACCAACGAGCATAGGCCAAATGCCATAAGGTCCTATTGGCTGGAAAGTACACGGTGTTGTTTTGTTTTTAAATCCGTAGACAGTAAAACTGCATGTATAAACCATTCCGCCTTCCTTGCCTCCGAGATGCCCAGTTACCATAACACTAGCTGGTACCACTAGCAACATCCACCTAAATACGATATAGTTACACAATCCACTGCGCTCCTTCTACCCCAACCCCCAAACAATTCAACTTCTCTCCGGAGCAAGGAGACTTCAGAAGGAAACAAAAGCCGTATGTTACCACTGTGCATGCCAACCTACCACCGCAGAGAAACACTCAAGTTGAATACTTGGCGTCGCTCAAAGTCAAGTAGTTTCAATCCAAGCTACACGCCGCCGGGGCTCCCGGGGCTCAGCGCAGAGGGATGCTGACGGCGGGGAGGGGGATCCCGGAGGCGGCCGGCAAAGGGTCAGAGGAAGGGGACGGAGCAGGGCAGGGTCCCGGCCGCGGCCTCTCCCACCCCACACCCTGAGGCCGCCGGGACCCAGGCACCCGCACAAAGTTTGCAGAGTCGAGGGTCGCGCGACCCGGTCGCCCCGCCTGCCGCCCCAGCCCGGCGGGTGCAGGTCCATCCCGTCCCGCCTGCCGCACCCCGTACCGAGCGGCCGCGTATCCAGCGACCCAGCTCCCGGCTCCGCGCTGCTGCCTCGCTCCAGCTTTCAGCTCTCCCTCCCGCTCCCTCCGCCCGCGCCCGACGGACGCGCGCACGCTACCAGCACGCCGCTGCCCTCTTCCCCGGGGTCCGCA